TACGTAATTTGCTCAGGGATTAGGCCTTTTTCAGGGAGGTGGAAAGTGAGCCTCTGTGGTCTTAGAGTACCCAGTTCAACTGTGCATATACACGTTTTCAGGCATTCTGGTCTGCTAAAAATTGGCAACAAGAACGTCATCGCTGTTGGTCTGCCGCTACTTCTGCCTAATAGCTATATACATTTCTTCACATCTCGTCTCCGCGGCATCTGCTGATTTTTATGTGGCTTTCTCCAGCCTGAAGCCGCAACTTCAAATAAAGCTTTGTACGGTAGGCGACTGTTAGACATACAGAAGACGTGTCCTAACCAGCGAAGCCTGTGGAGCTGAATTCGATTTGATAGCGGTACGTTCCATTTTCGATACATTCTCAAACACATCTGGGTTAATAACCGGATAACTCCATCAAACCTGGACCAGACTATGCAAGTCTCAGTTGTCAGGCGATGAATATCTTCCACCCGCAAATTAAAGGTCTCGCCCGTAAAGCGATCTGACCGAAGGGGTGGCGCAGTGTACGCAATTCTTCAACTTCTTTAGTGGAACGACAAGCCGTCAAATGCTTTAGTCCTGCATATTCTTTGCTAGGTCTGTGAAGGCTGTTAGATGTATTGTCTTTCGCAAAGCATAAATGCTTGCGTCTTCTGAGTGTGTGTAACTAGCATCGAATAAAATTATTTTTCCATTCGTGTATAATTTGAAAGGTTTATCGTCTTTATCATTACATGGATCACGGTATCAGGAACAAATTCTACGATTTAAATACCTATCCAGTAAAATCAATATCCAACCTTAATATTTCCATCTTACCACCTCCCTTTTTTTACTGGGATTGTGCGTACAATTTTTCAAGACTTAGGGCCGGCTGTAACCGTTCAGATGTGCTTTTAACCATAATCATGTATGAACGTTGAACGATTGCCGTACAACCTGTTTAACGTCTCCATGCACTTTCCCTTATGTTTCCAGGTTCATATACAGTCCTGGCGGCGCGGGGTCCCTGAACCCTGTGGTATTCTCTACGCTCCTCGAGGAAAATCTGATCTGCAGGATCATGAAAAATCGCACGACAAGTGTACAAAAGATGTGTGTTCCGTGAACGAGTCAGCAGTGTCAGAGCGAATTGTGCTTGGCTACGTCCAAGAAGGTGGGTATGATTATTCCATCGGTCGAGGAGCTGGTCTTGGTTTCATCAGTTTGGCCGCCCTGATTCGGGCTGCAACGACTCCGGGTTGCAACTCGTTGCGAGACGGGTTCTCACGTGTGCTAATGAAAAACCCGAAATCCACATGCAGACGTATTGCACATCTGTCTCTTGTGACATGCCCCAACGCTTGAAGTGTTTGTATTTCCGGCAATTTATTGTAAAGTAAAACGCTTCTATGTAATAACTTGTACTTGTCACGGGTCCAGTGGAGGTGAGGTTTTCGTTTGTTAGAAATTTCATGTTTCCCCTAGTGCACTGTGAATATTTCAAGCATGGGATAAATGCGATTTTTCAACAAAACGTCTGTCATTGATTTACACACTCCTCACAAAATAGTTATTACACTGTCTTAAATTTTTGGATTATCTCCGCTCCTGTGTGCCCGGTCCTCTCCATTTCTAATAACCTATACTGCAACCGAATAAAAATGAAATTTCATTTAATTATCTTTTATTTTCGATATATTTTATATCACAAAAACTTGTTCACCTCGAAGTTATTGCATTCCTATGAACTTAACCACTTTAATACCGTACACCCCCACTCAGTCTTGAAACCCACGCACATGTGCTCCAACATAATTCGTAGTAAATTCCGAATAATATCCTTGTCTATATCATTTCTTTGATCTTGGTGCTCGTTACTCTTACAACCCCTGTCTATGTGAACTCTCTGTCATCTCTTTGACTCTGCTCTCAACATGGCAAGCTTCATTCTGCTCTTTTATCCAAATGGGTAGCTAAAGGCAACACCCAAAACCGGAGCATAAAAACTCATGGATAAGGGTTGTAAACACTGAAACTGGTCCACCTTTCGGGCGAATAACCTAAGCGTTCTCTGTTGGGCTCGAAACTCAATTGAACGCCTGCTACATCACTGTCTTGATTCCGTGAAATGGTAATTAGCATTTTACAAGATATGCGCCACGGAATAGAGCATCGTCATGCTGGTGAATGCATTCCTTATGACTATTTGATGCCACGGCTGACATAGGGAGGCGCGTATGCCTCAAACTCTTCCACCCGACGTAGTATCGAGCGTATAGTTTAGTAGTTTCACGAGAAGGCAATCCCATACCAACACAGTTTTGATGGTTGCTCCGCTTACTGAAATGCGTTTTTCTTTTGGCACATTACAGTCAAGTCCATCTAGGTTAAAGCTTTTTTCTTCGTTGAATCTGTTCAATCCCATGCTTTTTATTGGTGAAACTTGCATGAAAAAGTTTATGAAATTGCGAGGGCTATGTGCCTTCTCATTTCCGTGTATTTCATCCAGACCGAACCGTTTGTAAATTTTCGTTGTTTCGTTTGCACCAAACTATCCACCTTAAACACCGTTTTTATTTATGTGACATTTCTCAACAAGTGGCAACCCACACCGCTTATTGGAATCCAGTCCGTTTCTGACTGATTTGTAGTTATTTCCGTTTCACACATAGTGCCATAGTGGATCTGGGTCTATCAAAACGTCTGTCTACCTTGTACGTGCTGACATTGGCCGTTATCATTAGACCTCTCCAAATGAGCAGCAGTTGATAGTGATTTGTAAGGAACTACTTGGACGTTTTTGTTCTTTCTGGGTCATTGAGAGCGACCTGAGCATTTGATCACTCTCACCAGGGGGTCAAATTACTATATTCCTGATCATTCTATCGATCGCTGACGCCATTTGCCACGTCAATCACTCATTTTCAAACCGAATGAGGTGTGTGAAGCCCACGGGGGGAGATGCAGTACATTTCTCGCCCTGAAGGCAGTGTCTTTTCGACATATTTTCGTTAAAACAAAACATAATTTGACGGAATTACATATTTTGCTTTTCATGTGTTCGCCATCTTCATTATCGATATTTGTGATGATCTTACATATGAGGGAGGAGATAATCCAAAAGTTTTGTAGGATGCGATACGCTTATTACGGGGTGTATTCAAGCTAATGTAGAGGGGAATCC